AAGCCCACAGTACCAAGGACAGGGTCAATCATGATGTTGCCCATGGGACCGCTCTCGCCCTCGCCGTAGGTGGAGATGATGACGTTGATGTTCTCCACTATGCGCTGAAAGGTCTGGTACAGCTCCTCGGGCTCCAACTGCAACTCCAGCAGGGCCCAGTCCATCTTGTTCATCATGAGCACGGGCTTGATGCGCTCAGCGATAGCCTGCCGCAGCACTGTCTCTGTCTGCACACACACACCTGACACACAGTCCACCACCACCAAGGTGCCATCAGTGACACGCAGGGCAGCCGTCACTTCTGAGGAGAAGTCCACATGCCCAGGAGAGTCAATGAGGTTGATAAGGAAGCCAGAGCCATCCTTGCTCTGCTTGATAAAGTTCAAGTCATTCTCAGAAAGCTCATAAAAAAGGGAGATAGCGGTTGACTTGATGGTGATACAGCGCTCCTGCTCATCCTTCCGGGTGTCAGTGAAGCGGGTCTCACCAGCACGAGCGGACGCGATGATGCCAGCTTTGCACATCAAGGAGTCCATCAGTGTGGACTTGCCGTGGTCCACGTGGGCGATGACAGACATGTTGCAGATGTTGGCCTTCTTGTCCATGATGGCCCAGATCTGGTCTACAGTGAAGTTCACCATGGTGGCGGATGTCGCTGGATTCTCCTAGACAGATCCAACTGAATTGAGCTGCGCCGGGGATGGCGGCGAGGACGGCGGAAGAGCCTCACAGGGTTTTAGAAAGCCTTCATAAGAAATGCAAGTGGATGCTAGATGCTCATTTGCGTAGCTGATGTGTATCTGCTACTTGACATTTGTGACCTCACCCCTCACAAACCTCCTAGGGCCCTATGCTTTATTGGATTCTCTTTAGAGTTATGGGAATTGAGCCTCAGGGAAGTTAATCAGCTTGTCTAGTACTGACATGGAATTGTAATGTAGAATTCCAAAATCAGAGAACTTCCTGCAGCCTTGCTTGTCTTTGGCTGTGTATGTGAAAATAAGGAATTTTTTTTTTTTTTTTTTTGGTTCCTTGAATGCCTTCAGGGCACTTTTGGCCAGCGGGAGAGGTGTGAGGTTCGAACTCCAGCAACCTGAGGCT